GTTGCCACAATTCTGACCATTTTTCTAGTTCACCTAAATCATTTGTCATTTGGCTTATCCCTCCTGGAACATCAACCCTGTTACATATCTTAGTATCATCAGCAAAAGACATACCTTACCATCAAGACCTTCTGCAATATCACTAATAAAAATATTAAAGAGAATGGGTCCAAGTACAGATCCCTGAGGTACCACACTGGTGACAAGTCCAAGCTTCAAATATATTCCATTAACTACAACCCTCTGTTGCCTGTCACTCAGCCACTGCCTTACCCATTCAACAATATTTGAATCTAAACTTAAAGATTGCAGTTTATTGATAAGCCTTCTATGTGCAACAGTGTCAAAAGCCTTACTGAAATCTAGGTAAGCAATGTCTACTGCACCACCCTGATCTATAATTTTAGTTACCCAATCAAAAAATCAATAAGATTAGTTTGGCATGATCTCCCTGAAGTAAACCCATGTTGTCTCTGATCTTGAAATCCATGTGTTTTTAGATGTTCATCAATCCTATCCTTTAACATGGTTTCCATCACTTTCCCACTACTGAAGTAAGGCTTACTGGCCTATAGTTGCCCGACTCCTCCCTATTACCTTTCTTGTAAATGGGCACAACATTCGCTAACTTCCAATCTTCTGGGACTACACCTGTTAACAATGATTGGTTAAATAAATCTGTTAATGGTTTTGCTAGTACACCACTAAGCTCTTTTAATAGCTTTGGGTGTATTCCATCAGGTCCCATTGACTTATTTGTCTTTACTTTTGACAGTTGAAATAGAACCTCTTCCTCTAAACTCACGTGTAATAAATGACTCCTTTATCCATTTTTCTCAACTGAGGTCCCTTTCCTTCATTTTTATCTGTAAATACAGAACAAAAATATTCATTGAGGCAGTCAGCTAGACCTTTATCCTCTTCTACATACCTTCCTTCTTTTGTTTTTAATCTAACTAATCCTTGTTTTACTTTTCTTTTCTCATTTATGTATCTAAAAAATGTTTTATCCCCCTTTTTTACTGTCTGTGCTATTTTCTCTTCTGTGTGTGATTTGGAAGCTCTTTCTGCCTAATCTTATAGATCATTTTGTCTCCCTCACTCTGGGTTTTTTTATAATTCCTAAATGCTAACTTTTTGTTTTTAACTATTTGTAGCCTGCTTTTTTTTTTTTAAGTGAAAAATAAGTGTTATTGTGATCGCTTCATACAGAAGCATTAATATACATTTCTATATTGTGTAAAGACACAACTACAAAGGTAAAACCCAAACACCAAAACAACGTGCCAGACAATCTACCTGTGTATGGCTAGTGTGATACAATAAGTCTACATCTTAAAAATGCAATAACCCACAGAAGATGGGCGAGAATTATTTTTTGCAAATGGAACTTTGATTCGAATTTACTACATCGGTCACTTGTAATATTGTTTCACACCTACAACACTTGTTACACAGATCTAAGTGATAGAAAACAGATTTATATTTTCTACACTAGAAACTACCAGATAACAAGCTGCTATATTTAAACCAGTTATCAATAGCTAAGAGGTACTTAAACAATATTGTAATTCTGGGGCAATACCCTCACAAGTCAAACTGAGAGGTCCGTTTATAGGGAAAACTGTTGCCTGGATACAATTCTAAAACAATTTCCGTATGTCCTTTGCAGACTTTACATGCTGGAATAACACAGGTGCCAACTGCTGTGGCTTTCTGAAGTGTGCATAACTGCAAGGAGGGCAGGGTTGGGGAGTGGGTGGAAGATGATGTGGAGCATGATGAGGTCCTAGACCCCACATGGAATCAAGGTCATGCGAGTGACATGTGCACTGGACTGGGTGCCAGGTCCCTCTAGTTTTAACCCTGCATCTTAAAACCTAGCATTTTCAGAGAAACTGCTATGTTTCACTGAGGGTTAATCCAGTCTCTAGTGGCTGTCTCACTGACAGCCGCTAGAGGCACTTCCGCAATTCTCAATGTAAAAATCACAGTGAGAAGACGCTGGTCGTCCATAAGAAAGCATTGAGTAATGGTTTCATATGGGCTGTTTGAATGCGTGTACATGCACATTCGGATCTGACGTCGGCAGGGGTTGGAGAGTTCCCCAGCACAGAGGGAGCCTGGCGCTGGAGAAAGGTAAGTGGTTTTAACCCATTCATCCCAGCGCGACGGGTACCCTGAGGGTAGGGTGGACCTAATGACCCTATAGTGCCAGGAAAACGAGTTTGTTTTCCTGGCACTATAGTGCTCTTTTAACTCCTCCTCTACCAGACAGCCAATCGAGCAGGGGTTCCAAACCCAGTCCTCAAGTACTCCCTACCAGTCCCGGATTTAGGGATAACCCTGTTGTGTCTAAAGTGTTTTTTTGTTTTTTTCACCAAAAGACCTTAGACATAATTGAGTAATCCTTAAATCCTGGACTGTTAGGGGGAACTTGAGGACTGGGTTGGGAACCCCTGTTTTGTGGATAACAGTGCCCTTTTTTTCGTGTGCCGTTCGTGCATTTAGCCCTATTTAGTTCCTTTTATTTTACCGAATAAACTGCAATGGGAGTGTGCAGCCTGTTAACCTCCCAGAAGCTGTGGTTAACCGCAAATAATTGACCTAATTGACGAACGGCTGGGTGGTCGTCGTTCGTATGAACAAACACTTGGAGGCAGCTATCTTAAACTGTCGAACGCCCAGCAGTGTTTGGTCGTCGACAGCATGGAACTGTTTTCGGTCACTGTTTCACACGAACATCGCTGGGACTTCCAAACTTCCATCTCTTCGTTCAGTTTATACGAACGCTGCGTCGTTCGGTACATTAATAACTCACGAACTAGACCGACCCTGATAGCTAAAAGCCATGGAACTAATTCTGGAAAGATTTTTGCCGAACGGTCTGTTAAAACTCTTTAACCCCTTAAGGACACATGACATGTGTGACATGTCATGATTTCCTTTTATTCCAGAAGTTTGGTCCTTAAGGGGTTAAAGGACCACTATAGGTACCCAGAGCACTTCAGCTCAATGAAGTGGTCTGGGTGCTAGGGTTAACCCTGCAGCTGTAAACATAGCAGTTTCACATTAGGGTTAATCCTGCCTCTAGTGGCTGTCACATTGACAGCCGCTAGAGGTGCTTCTCACTGTTAAAGTCACAGTGAGAAGACGCTGACATCCATAGGAAAGCTTTTAGTAATGCTTTCCTATGGACGTCGGAAGAGGGAGATTTCCCCAGCGCCGAGGGAGCCCAGGGCTGGAAAAAGGTAAGCCCCCTCCCCCTTCAGCTCGGTGGGAGGGGGCCATGAGGTTGGGGGGGACCTAAAGATCCTATAGTGCCAGGAAAACAAGTTTGTTTTCCTGGCACTATAGTGGTCCTTTAACTCCATGGCGATTCGACTGTGTTCATAGGATCAGAGTGCTGTTTGGATATATTGTGCGCTCAGATCCAGGCTATCTGGGGATATGTTGAATGTGGAGGTCCAGTTGTGTGAAATATGAGTTATGTATTTTAATGTGTTTTGTTACAGTTATAAATTGAAAATATTTTCTGTACCTGTAGATGATTAAAGGGACACTATAGTCACCCAGACCACTTCAGCTCAATGAAGTGGTTTGGGTGCCAGGTCCCTCAGGTTTTAATGCTTCAGATGTAAACATAGCAGTTTCTGAGAAACTGCTATGTTTACATTAGGGGTTAATCCAGCCTCTAGTGGCTGTCTTCCGGACAGCCGCTAGAGGCGTGTCTGCGACGCTGGATGCGAATTTCGCATCCATTGCACAGAGCATCCATGGGAAAGCATTGAGAAACGCTTTCCTATGGCATCTTTGAATGTGCATATGCATTCTGCTCCACAAAGGAGCTGACATCAGACAGGGAGGAGAGAGGTTAAAACCCCTTCAGCTTTGTTTTCCTGACACTATAGTGATCCTTTAAGTTTACTACGGCTACTTAACCCAATTATCTCCACAATAGAGGGGAGGGATTTTACTGTTTCTGTGGGAGTGATTCACATTGTGAATCAAGGTCCATGTGGGAGTATCCCTTGCTGGAGGACCTGCATAAAAGGCTGAACTCTGGGCTCATGTTTGGGGGATATGGAGCTATAATTCACAGGTATAAAACATAATTTAATATGAATAAAATATTAAAGAATGGGAGGAAATAAGAATTTCCTTTTTTTTTTTGTTCTGCATGACATTTTAACTGTGAATGTAATCATACTGTTTGCTTTTACTGCAATAAAATACATATATGTATTCAGTGATGTCTCACATGTGTAACAGTACCTTGTATGTACAGGTTTTATGGTATTTTGGACCCATAATGGCATACAATTTGCAATAGTAGACAACCTGAGGTATTACAAATGGGGTATGTCCAGTCTTTTTTAGTACCCATTTGGTCACAAACACTGGCCAAAGTTAGCGTTAGTATTTGTTTGTGTGTGTGTGAAAAATGCAAAAAACGCCAATTTTGGCCAGTGTTTGTGACTAAGTCGCTACTAAGAAAGACTGGACATACCCCATATGAAATACCTTGGGTTGTCTACTATTGCAAATGGTATGCCATCATGGGGGTAATTCTCAGTGGGCTACCATACGTTCTCAAAGGTAACGTAACCAATCTGGCGAATTTCAATGTGAAAAAACTGAAACGCAAGCCTTATATTTGACTCTGTCACTTTTGAAAACACCATAAAACCTGTACATGAGGGGTACTGTTATACTCGGGAGACTTTGCTGTACACAAAATATTAGTGTTTCAAAACAGTAAAACGTATCACAACAATTATATCGTCAGTGTAAGTGCCATTTGTGTGTAAAAAATTTCACTTTCACTGATGATATCGTTGTAATACAGTTTACTGTTTTGAAACACTAATATCTGTGTTCAACTAACTAAAACAGTACCCCTCCATGTACAGGTTTTATAGTGTCTTCCAAAGTTACAGGTGTGGTGACATTCTGTCATCAAACTAATATGGTGAGCAGGGAGATGTGACCAAGCTCATGTATGCCTTTCTTACAGTGGGATAAGCTTTACCTTTTGATATGGTAATTGGGTAATTCAATACCTTTACAAGTCAGGAAAGAGGTAACCACTTCCCCCTATCTCCATTCCTCCCTGTTCCTTCTTGGCTGTGCTACTGAGCAGTCCCTTAAGCAGACATGGCCTAATTTCTATCATGGTGAACTGTGAGTGGGATTTTATAAGATGTAGTTGTTATTGTTAGTTAGGTTGTTGTTGCTGTTGTTGGTGGTATAGTTAGTTAGATTGTGTGTCATTATTTGTATGTTGTTGTTGTTTTGTCTCTGAATAAATATTTGTTAAAGTAGACGGACCAGAGTTTATATGTGTATGCGTACATAATAATTTATAGAGTTTGGTAATTTACCACATTTGGCGACCACGAATTTTAGACTTCTACAACAAATGTTTGTGAGGCGCAATAACTACCATATTGATACATAATCTAAGAGTAAGAGACTTTATAGCATAGGATTCATTTTGTTGAAACAAATATACATATGTGTTTTGTTGACTGTTTTGAATTTGTGTATTGTGACTGACAGAACATATTTTGTTGCAAATTGTAGCATTTATAGGTTTAACTTTGTTTCTGTACAGTTTTAAAGTATTGGTGATAAAGGGGAAAAATTTTATAGTTTCACTGTATTGGAAACTTTGATGTTTTGGCCATTTTTAATTGCCCATGTGCTGTATTGTCTCTCTCTTGTTGCAACTAACTAGAATGAAACTTAATCTATTTTAATTGTTTTCTTAGATGTTAAATTGTGTGGCTTCACTGCATTCTAAGTTTAAATAGCAAACTTTTTTGTTGTTATCTTTTGTCTGTTTGAATCATTGAATTCAGGATAGGAGCATAATGTTTGTGCATTATGACTGACAGAACGTTTTTTGTTGCAAATTGTAGCATTTATAGTTTAATTTTGTTTATGTACAGTTTTAAAGTATTGGTGATTAAAGGGGAAGTTTGAATAGTTGCACTGCATTGGAACTATTGAAGTTTCGGCCATTTTTAATAGCCCATGTGCTGTATTGTCTCTCTCCTGTTACAACTAACTAGAACTAAACTGAATATATTGTAATTGTTTTTAGATGTGACATTTTGTACATTTTGTGGCTTCCCTGCATTCTAAGTTTAAATAGCAAACTGTTTTTTTTTGGTTATCTTTTGTCTGTTTGAACCATTGAATTCTGGGTAGGAGCATTGTGTTTACATGATAAAGGTATTGGGGCTAATACAGTGTGGTGGCTATTGTTTAGCCAGTCTAAAATTGGAATTTTTACCCTGGAGTGTGTTTAATAGAAAATGAACAGTTTGTATTTGAGGTAAAGGTGCCTATGTTAGATTGTTATATGGTTGGGAATTATCATTGTGCTGAAGTTACAGTCAGGTATTTTTCAGTTCCCATACCTTCCTTTAAATCATTCTGTTTATTTGTAAACCCCCCATACTGCACTTAAACAAAGGCAGAAGGGTGGTTTTGTGTTTTGCTGCCTGTGGGCATTTGTTGTATTGAGACTGTGAAGTTTTTTTTCTTAAAAGACAAGAGTTTGTTTGAACCATTTGAGAAACTTAATTACATTAACCTATTCAAACAAACTCTTGTCTTTTAAGAAAAAAAACTTCACAGTCTAGGTTTTGGAGTTCAGTGAACCATTTGAGAAACTTAATTACATTAACCTATTCAATCTCTTTGGAGCCAGTTTCAGTTTTTTAAAAATTAATCCCATTGTTAAAAGCTTGTTGTTTTTTTACTTAGTCTGCTGGTCTATTTCGATTAAAGACTCAGGGAGAGCTCGGTTTTAAAATGTCATATCTAGGTACTAAGTATTTTGTATGATGGACCATATGAGCTTCCAGAACCAGCAGGCCCCAATTGTGGAAAATATGAAGGTTTCATGGCTGTTTTGACACAAATTGTTACTAATAAAAAGTGCCATATTAAGAAAAGGAAAAGCTTGGTGGTACAAGCAGTTGTTGCTGCAATAGGGGGTTTGGCAAGCATGGTATTTAAATTGCAGAAAGCTAATTTAGTAACCACTAATAAAATGGAAGAAGCTCTTGATGAAAGAGATTGTTTTAAAATAGCTGCCCTAAGAACAAACAAAATGATCGAGGGGTTGGCGAAGGAATTAAAGGAAATAGAACAACAGAGAGATGCATATAGTGCTAAGATCACTGAACTCCAAAACCTAGTTATGGAATATAAAATGAAAACTAAAGAAAACATAAATAAATGGGATAAGGAGATTCCTAAAGTATGCCCAGGCCAGTCTCATTTTATATCTAAAAGTACAGAACCAGCGCTCGCAACCAAACACAAGGGAAATGCGCCAGTTGTTAACTGTATCCCACAAGCCCCTTTAATAATAACTGAACACTTTAATGCAAGAGAAATGCCTACTAGTTTCTCTAGACAGACAAGCACTATGTCAATCACAGACAAAGAAAATTTCCAGAAATGGTGGGGAAGTATGCCAAATAGCAACTTTAATACTTTTACACACTGGTTTATGAGGGGAGCAAATAGAGCTTAAAAAGGAGATCTTAACTTAAAGGAATGGACAGAACTGTTAGAATATGCTATGGGTCCTTGGCTAGTAGACTATTGGGATTCAATAACAGTGTGTCTGATCAGGCAGGAAGAATTGCTGCAACTAATTTCTATCTACTCAGCATAGAGAAAGAAATAGCGAATATTACGATGAGGCCAGCAGATGGTCCTAGAGAGGTAGCTCAAAGGATATTTTTCTGGTATACACTATGCCAGCCTCAACAGCCCCTGGTGTTGGGCTCACCAGAACACATTGCTAAAGTAATGGAAGCCCTTCCCTGGGAGTGTTAAGAATTTGTCAGGCTTTTTGATCCAACACCAGCAGACTTAGAAATGGTACTAACTAGAGCTGACAATTGGTGGATTAAGCATCCTTTCTCAGAACAGGCCTTCTTTGTTTCAGCCATAAGAACATTCAAGGTTGACTCTGGTAGAGATTTAGATGGTAAATGGAGAAGCCAGAGGTGGGATGTACCCCAGAACAAGAGGGATAATGAGAACTGGAGACCAAAACAGGACTTTGACAAAAGATGGAGAGATCCACAGAGGGACCATAGGAATAGGGACAGTTCTAAAGGAAGTAATGTAATGGGAGATAATTGGAAAAATAGATGGGAGGAGCCTAAGGCAATCAATAATAATTGGAATAATAATAATACCTGCGAGAGGCTAAAAAGGAGAGATAACTGGGAAAATCACAGTTGGCAAGAAAAACAGAGAAACAACAGGAACAATTATTGGGAGAATAATTGGAAAAGGAACCATAGATGGGATGAGCATCAGACCAATAGACGGAATTGGGATAATTGGAGGAATAAAGAAGGGAATAGAGACTACTGGTACCTAAAGAGACAGACTGAGAGATTGGAGGCAGACGTAAAAGCGCTTAGGGAACAGATGAGGGAGGGAAATACTGATCAATTGGGGGTCCCCAGCAATGAATAACTCCCATAAATGTTGTTGTTCTCTACATCTGTATGTATGTTTGTTTTTCTTTTGTTTCTATATTTTATCTGTCTCCCCATTCCAGTTTAAAGATATATATATTTTAGTCATATTAAGGATAAGCCTCTAAATCCATTAATTACAGTCAGGTGGGCCAAATTCCAAATAATTTTTGTTTTTATTAGTTTAGCACGCCTGCACTGCCAGCTATGTTTTATTTATTTTTTGATGCTGGATTAATAATTATAAATTCATAGATTAAGTGAATTGTTGCCAACGTGAGGCTTATATTTGATCACACTGGAGAGATGTGATAGTGTAACTTTCTGTTGGTTTACAACAGTAAAAACATTAGAAGCATTTTTTTTTTTTTTTGGTTCCCAACAAATATAACCTCAAGTTGATTTTTGATTTTGATTTTTGAATAGCAACAGACAGTTTTCTATAGATTGCACGCTGCCAAACTGTGTAATGGTAGCATTCAATCTACTTTTTTTTTCTTCTCTCTCCATCTTTGATGCTTTGTTTTTTTTGTTTTGTTTTTTGTCATTAAGAATATAGGGAAATTAGATTGCTTTGAGTGAAGATGGCATAAATAATAAAGTGACAATGTATGCTATTTGTTCTATTTGGCTATCCGCAGGGGGTTAAATAGTTATGGGTATGAGAATTTGCACCTACGTTCAATTGCGAATACATTTTTCACCCTTACATCTTTCCCACTCACGTTCATGTATAATAAATTTCGGTTTAAACTATGTACATTTTGTGATTATTGCATGTATTCATCAGTAAATTATAAAATAACTAATATGGTTTTGTGTTCAACTCTCCATCAGGTGTGGAGTAAATGTCTAAATTAATCAAAATTTCAGGAGACATTTGTGGGTCTTTTACATACCTCTAAAATGTAAACATAGCCTTAAGATACCACAACCAAATAGATTTTATTAGACAAAACTAAATAAGCCTTTGACACAAGACAATATGCTGATTACTGTTGTACATATTTCATTGTCTGTGCTTGATTCAAAGAACATTTTAATTGGAAGGCCCAGAGAGGCGAAGGTAACTGACATGTCCTGTCACAGTTTACTATACAGATGAAGAAGTGCTGGGATTACCAAGACAAACTATTTTATTCTGAAAATGATTCTGGGATTACACGTCAAACTATTATCCTGAAAATGGATACTATACAGATGAAGAAGTGCTGAGATTACCAAGTCTATTAACACAGCCCAGAATGAGGGTAAAGTAACAACAAGAAGCAGGAATTTGTGTCATTTCAAGGTGGTCACAGAATGAGTTTCCCCTACACTCATGAACTTGCATGTGTCATTAAACCTACAAACCTCAAGCTTTGTAATGGATTGTCAAAGACAATATTCAAGGAGAGTTCATTCTAAAATCACAGCTATCAAGCACACAGATCAGTCACAGTCTTCAGATTCCAGTCCCAGGCGAAATTAAACATCATATTGTGTCATAAACTAGTGATAATTACTGTATGGGGTTGATTGCGTCTAGATATTACTACTTCACATGAACACATTACCATATACTATTAATGAACAACTACCAGGGTTCTTACCAACCCACTAGGGCAGTGGTTAATTTAAAAATGAAACAACTGAAAACAATTGAAATTGGGGGAATGTGGGGTGATGCAACCCCTGTTTGACTATATTCTCTCACTTTTAAATGTGCTCAACATAAGAGAAAAAAAAGTGAGGGAATGTGGTGACATTCTGTCAAACTAATATGGTGACCAGGGATCATGTGACCAAGCTCATGTATGCCTTTCTTACAGTGGGATAAGCTTTACCTTTTGATTTGGTAATTGGGTAATTCAATACCTTTACAAGTCAGGAAAGAGGTAACCACTTCCCCCTATCTCCATTCCTGCCTGTTCCTTCTTGGCTGTGCTACTAAGCAGTCCCTTAAGCAGACATGGACTAATTTCTATCATGGTGAACTGTGAGTGGGATTTTATAAGATGTAGTTGTTATTGTTAGTTAGGTTTTTGTTGCTGTTGTTGGTGGTATAGTTAGTTAGATTGTGTGTCATTATTTGTATGTTGTTGTTGTTTTGTCTCTGAATAAATATTTGTTAAAGTAGACGGACCAGAGTTTATATGTGTATGCGTACATAATAATTTATAAAGTTTGGTAATTTACCACAACAGGGTTAAATATAGTGCTAGCAAATTAAATTCCCTGGACTTTTGGCCTGGGTTGTCAGGCAGGTTCCACAAATTGGAATTAATAAAATTACCTAATTATGTAAAACTATTACATAAATATGTACATAGAATTATTATATATATATATGAAAATTTATCCATACTTACCGTAATTTTCCTTTCCTGGTCATAGGCCATGGCAGCACAACAATGGGTTAGCTCCTCCCTATCCCTAATTAGACAGGAACAGAATTAAAATCAGGGGTATAAATACCCCCTCCCACCAATGGTCCCTGAGTCTTGTTAACAGCAATATCCCAGGGCGGGATCTAAGTGCTGCCATGGCCTATGACCAGGAAAGGAAAATAACGGTAAGTATGGATACATTTTAATCTTTCCTGGCCATATCCATGGCAGCACAACAATGGGTAATACCCAAGCAATATACAAGGGAGGGAATAAAGAAAAAAACACAGACTCAAGAATATTTTAAATGCTGGTGTATTAGAAATCACACGTGCAATAGAAATCAATCAAGAAGAGTTGACTGCGGATAAGACTGATTTGCCAAAAGAGTCTGATTGGCTGGCTTTAACGTCAATCTGGTAATGCTTTATAAACGTGTTTGGAGAAGACCAAGTGGCTGCTTTGCAAATCAGCTCAGGTGACAAATCAGCAGCTGCTGCCCAAGATGAGGAAAGGGACCTAGTGGAGTGAGCCTTGAGCCCATCAGGAACTTTCATCTTTGAAGCTTGGTAAGCCTGAACGATGGCGGCAACAATCCATCTACTGATGGCCATCTTAGAACCCTGAAGCTCTCTTCTGGGGCCATTGGGATGACGAATAGCCTTTGAGAGATCCGCCAGGCTGAAGATCTTTGTAGATAGACAGACAGACATCGAACAAGATCTAACGGAGAAGGCAGAGGTTCAGCATCCTCAGTAGAAGACTCTGAATGAAGAGCTGGGAGTACTATTTCTTCGTTGATGTGAAAAGCTGACACCACTTTAGGACGAAATTCGGGAACAGTCCGTAAAATAACTCTGTCCTTATGAAAAACTGTAAAGGGCTCTTTAGTTGATAAGGCATGGAGTTCAGACACTCGTCTACCTGAGGCTAATAGAACCGTCTTAATGGTGAGTAACTGAGGAGAGATGGATTCAAGAGACTCAAAAGGAGAATTGCTCAGAGCTTTTAACACCAAGGGAAGATCCCATGGTGGAGCGAAGGGCTTGATAGGAGGCTTGATTTTCAAAACTGCTGCCATAAATCTGATCACGTCCATGTTCAAGGCCCATCTTTGATCCGTAAGGGCCGAAAGAGCTGAAATATGTACCTTCAGGGTATTGTAGCTTAAACCCTTATCAAAACCGGATTGTAGAAATTCAAGGATCTCCTTGGTGGAGATAGACTGAATATTCCTGTGGTTGGATGCAGCCCAGGAGGAAAAAACGTCCCAGATTCTGTAGTAAGTGGAAGATGTAGAGCGTTTCCTTGCTTGCAGTAGAGTTTCAATGACAGAATGAGAAAATCCCTTGCAGTTCACCTTTCCCTTTCAATCTCCATGCCATCAGCTTGAGGGAGGCAGGGTCTGGGTGGAGGACAGGACCCTGATGTAGAAGGGAAGGAATATTTGGAAGCTGCCAGGGGTCTGCACTGCAGAGGCTCAACAACAGAGGAAACCATGGCCTGCGAGGCCAAAAGGGGGCTATGAGGATGATGGATACCTTCTCCTGCCTCAATCGTCTCAGAAGAGGAAAGATGAGGGGTGTAGGAGGAAATGCGTAACCTAGGTGAAATTCCCAATCGATTGAAAGAGCATCCCTTCCTGATGCTTGGGTATCGATGTTTTTTGAAAAGAAGTGCTGCACCTTCCTGTTCTTGTGTGTTGCCATAAGGTCGACTTGTGGCACGCCCCATACTTGAGAGATGTCTTCGAACACCTTGTTTGATAGACTCCATTCCCCTGGATCTAATTCCACTCTGCTCAGGTAATCCGCTATGGAATTCTGGACTCCCGGAAGATGAATAGCCGATAGGCCCGCTAGATGCTTCTGGGAGAAGGACATTAGGGGCTTCATAATGGACATCATTTTCCGACTCCTTGTTCCCCCTTGATGGTTTATGTAGGCAACTACAGTGGAATTGTCTGATCTGATCTTGATCCACTTGAAGCGTATGAGGGGAAGGAGAATTTCTAGAGCTTTTAGAACTGCCAAAAGCTCTAATTGGTTGGAGGGAGTCTCTGTTACTGGAAAGGACCATTTCCCCTGGATAAACTGATCTTGTAGGTGAGCACCCCATCCCCACTGGCTTGCGTCCGTGGTAATAACTGTCCATGTGATGTTCCCCAATGGAAACCCTCAGAGATTGATGGACCTGAGGGGGAATCTTGATAGGCTGAAGTGGACTTCTCAATCTGAATTGAAGGATGAAATTCTTCTGGAAAATCCTCATCCTCCATTGGGCCCATCTGGTCAGTCCGATGGTGGAGGACATTGATCCTAACAGGCTCATGCATCTTTCTGCTGAGGTCACATTGGATGCCAACATGTCTTTGACTTTGTTCATCAACTTCGTACCTCTTTCTGAAGACAGTTGCACTGTGCCTGCTAGAGTGTTGAATATGGCCCCCAAATATTTCATCTCCTGAGCCGGCTGTAATTGGTTCTTGTTCTCGTTTATCTTCCAACCATGACGGCATAGAAAATGTAGACAAACCTGCCCATGGGTCTGAAGGGTATCTGTGTCTTCTGCCAAGATGAGGATGTCGTCTAAGTAATGGTAAATGGCTATTCCCTTTTTCCTGAGCTACGCAATCAAAACAAACAAGACCTTGGAGAATGTTCTTGGAGCTGTGCTGAGACCGAACGGCAGGGCTTGGAATTGAAAATGCCCTTGTTCCACCGCAAACCGAAGGAATTTCTGATGTTCTGGAGCGATGGGGATGTGGAAATAAGAGTCTGCCAAGTCTATAGAAATCATCCATTGGTGTGGAAAAACAACCTTTATGATGGATTGAATAGACTCCATCTTGAACTTCCGGATGAGGAGATGCTGATTTAGTCTGCTTAAGTCTAAGATAGGTCTCCAACCACCTGAAGCTTTTCTGGTGAGAAACAGGTGAGCGTAAAACCCTTGACCTTGCTGTCGCTGAGGAACTGAAATTATGACATTTCCTTCCTGGAGTGTCGAGATGAAATCTTTTAAGGCCTGTCTTTTTACTGCATCTCCTGGCCATTTGGTCATTTGAAAGGAGTAAGCTGGAGGGGGTCTGAAGAATTCTAAACGATATCCTCTTCTTATGATATCCAACACCCATTTGTCTGTGGTGGATAGTTCCCATACATCTTGGAAGATTAACAGACGTGCCCCCACACCTACTGACTGGGGGGAAGACCAGTCATAAAGATCTGGGGTTCTTGTGGAACGAGGCGCCTCTAGATTTACCGCCTCTGGTAGATGACTGTCCACCTCTCCAAGGCTGGGATCTTCCATGCTCTCTTCTCGAAAGGAAAAATAGTCTGGATATCGTTTGGATCGAAAGGAACCTCTGGGTTTACGATCCTGCGGGAGAAAAGCTCTTTTGCCTTCGGCTGCTCTTTTAATACATTCATCCAAGTTTTTTCCAAACAACATGTCGCCGTGGAAAGGTAAGGCACATAAACTAGATTTAGAAGAGGTATCTGCTATCCAGGACCTTAACCATAAAGCCCTTCTGGCTGAAACGGAGAGGGCCATATTTCTGGCAAAGGCCTTAACCAGATCCACCGAAGCGTCAGACGTAAAGTCTACTGCAAGCTTTATATCTTTTAGACTTTCCAGAAGACTGGATCTGCTCCTGCCTCTTTGGATGTCTGCCTCTAGATTTTCCATCCAGATCTTTAAAGCTCTGGAAACTGAAGTGAGAGCGACTGCTGGATGGAGGCCTGTGCCTGCAGCCACGTAAGCCTTGGCGAGGTTCAGATCCATTTTTCTATCCATGGGATCTCTAAATGAACCTGCGTCGTCAACCGGTAGAGTAGTGTGTTTGGCCAGTCTTACTACGGCCGCATCTACCTTAGGAGCCGAATCCCAACAGCTGGAGTCTTTTCTCTCAAATGGATAAAGACGAGCAACTCTGCCTTGAGATGTCAGTTTTCTACGAGTATTAGACCACTCGTCTTCAATCAGCTCCTTGATTGTCTCATGAGCTGGAAATGTGGCTCTCTTTTTCTTCAGATCAGCAAAATATCTACTGGAAGTAGAAGGTTGCTCTGAGGATATTTCCTTGAGACTCAAGGATTTGCGCACTCTGGATATTAAATGATCAACTTGAGCAGGCTCCATGAATTCCGGGGCATAAGATTCTTCTGAAGAGGACAGCCCGTCCCTGTAGGAGTCCATGGACTCATCTGAGGATTCTTCCTGAGAAAACCCCAAGGGTTCAGCGAATCTGGGCCTCTTCTGGGACTTCCCAGCTTCTCTGATGCCCTGGGAGACTGCCTGCTTGATAAACTCCATCATATCTGGAGTAGGGGCAGTAGTAGAAGCACCAGCGGCTGTAGACAGGCATTCTGCGCAGAGACGTTTGCCTTCTAGTGGTTTATTGCTGCAGGCTTCGCATCTCTTCTTCATAGGCGACTTGCCTTTGGAAGTTCTGGATGCTTTAATTCCCGTAGAGTTGTCATAATAGGGAAATACAATTAAACCAGGCACTCTTTTGTTTGGTATAGATAGAGAGAGAGAAAAATAATGGCTTACCTATAACCTTTGGATTGTGAACTTTGTTTATGAACGGATGCCTCAGAGTCTGATGAGAAAGATTTGTCCATCTTCCCTGTCATAATATAGGAAGGAACTGAAATATTTATACCCAAAAAAGTATAAAAATTC